TTTTACAGACGGAAAAACAAATTCACTTACTGGTTATAAGTTATAAACGCCCATTAGTTGTACCACTTGTACCTACACGACAACCCACAGCTACGTTTGTACGATTACAGGACCCGAGTGCAGAAGCTGGACAAAAGGGTTTCACCGTGAGGTGGGAGGCACGTTCTGACAGTTATTTTTATTAATTTTTTCTACACGTCTAATGAAATCTAAATTAAACTAAATATGACGAAGATTTATAACTTATATTTAAAAAAAGGAAAGCGGGTATGATGGATATATTATTTATATGCTACTCGACTCTCTAGCGGAAAAGTAATAGGTACACCTATAGTTACACAGATATGTTTATTACAGATGTAATGGCTTGTCCTAAAGAAAAAACACCAGGACGGTTTTGAAACCCAACTCGGCGACAATCGTTAAGGGCACTTTTTGTTTACATTGTTTCTATACTGCCAAGAATTTGAAATTCGATCACCGCTCGCATTGTTAACGTGTCGCCAATGGCGTATACAATTCAATTTAAAACCCAGTCAAAAATCGTCTCCGTAATATGAAAATATAATTTTGTTAAGAGGTTCGATCAATTTTGAAGACATCAACTGCGACAAAAAATACTAAGCTATGGCAGCTTACAGCCAGAGTAATCTGGCTAATGTTGTTTTCGTGAAAACTGACACGAAGACATCACGTACATTTGATTCGGGGAAGAATGAACAAAGATAACTGTCAATAATTAAGATTATAAAATACTTAATATACATGTAAAAGACGATTCTTTTATAGTTATATCAGTAGACGTACATGTGTTCATAAAAATATGATTTTTACATACATGAAGTCTTTACAAAAATATTAATGGCAAACTTATTTTTAAAACATTTTTTATGCTTTAAATTAGGTAAAAAAAATAAATTTTTAATAACATACATTTACCAAAAAAAAAAACTGTACACGCAGTAATCTTATATTATATGTTATCAAAGAATCAAAGTTCACGTACAGAGTACAGACTACACCTGGGAATCTCCAGCAAGATCAAGTGTATTCCCGGCATATGATGGCTTTTGGGCCGTACTATATTATTCTCTTTCCATGGATAAAAACGCCAGAACAAAGAGCTCAGATCACTTTTCAATAGAAGAAAATGCCGGAGAAGAAATCGATCTCTATTACATGCGTGTTGTTTTCATAAATATGTGTAAATACATTTKTTCTACCATCAAATGGGCGTTTTAACGATTACAAGGTGAAAGAATCATATAGGCGTTAGTCAAAGACCCGGAATTGCGAAAAAACTTAAGAAGACGCTACACCCGCATGTGTTGTCTCCGTCTTACAAGTACGTAACATTGCAAAAACTGTTTAGCACRGGAAAGAACCGAGAAGACTACAGTCATAACTAAGAAACGAAATTCTCACCACAGATAAAAGGGAATTTCGACTGTGCAACTTTATTTTTATTTTTTTGATATTAAAACTGAAAAAAAAGTTATTCGATTTTTAAAAACACAAAAATAATTAATTTTGAAGCAATAAGAACTTTTTTTCTATTTGTGATATCGAAAAATTGAAAAGAACGTTGCACAGTAAATGTTCTCCTTATTATGTAGTGAAAATTTCGTTTCTTAGTTATAACTTTAGCTTTCCTGGTTCTTACCCGCGCGAAACAGTTTTTGCAATTTTACGCACTTGTAAAACGGAGACAACACATGCGGGTGTAACGTCCTCTTAAGGGAAAAAGCGTGGAAATGGTCGGCTTAAAGGATTACTATCTATATTATGTACAACTGCAGTTAAGACATGCTCCCTGAACCATTGAAAAACGACTGAATTGTGAAAGCTAATACAGTAGAGCCTCGATAGTCCGGACGAATTCAGACCGAGCATCGTCCGGATTATCGATTTTTTCGGATTACCGGAGGTTTTTAAAAATTACCTATACTCAAATAATTACTAAGATTTTATTTTTAATTTCACTATTATTATGTACCCACATAGGTACATGTATTAGTCTTTACTAGGAACAGTAGGTAATAAAAATGACGAAATAGTATTTGTCGATAGCAATATTTTATAGACTAATTGCGTTGCGGGAATTCTCGTAAAATTAATTTACGAACAAAATGGAATTTTAGCCGTCCGGATTACCGCGTTCACCGGATTATCGGGGGTCCGGACTATCGAGGCTCTACTGTATATATATTTTTTAAATGTATTATATATTTCTATCAATATAAATTTTAAGCTGTTTTCATTCCAATTGCCGTGGTTTTAAATTAGTGCAGTAGTTGTTTATATTATCAACAGTGTTGACAAACAAAAGTATTTATCGCATTTTATGAAACATTTCAATACCTATCAAAAAAAATTGTATCTTATTTATTTATTTAGTGATATTATGACCAAATATAATTATTGACTATATTATAATATTACAACATGAATGAATCACAGAAAATCCAACAAGTGAGCGCCTATCCTAATATTATCACAATTTTATTTTCTTAGACATTATGACGATTTCTGTGTTCATGCGATAGCAGTATCGTAGTTTTAGAATAATATATATATATATATTTTTTTTTTTTATTGAGGTTATTTATTGTATACTTGTAAATCAAATGCACCAATGTCTACTATCATACTATTCATTGATTTATCRTAAGAGGACGCTACACTCACATGTGTTGTTTCTGTCTGTGCGTAACATGGCAAATTTTATGCATAGCAGTTCCAATTTGGCTCCGTTGGTTTAAAATGTAAGTGAATTGACCTCTTATAAAAATGAAAGGTAACATTATTATCTAGGTTATCGCATAGATTTTTTATTATATTTTAATTTTAAAGCAAGTTATAGGTACATTATATTATATTTTTAAATTACTGTGTAAATTGTTTGTATAACTTAAAATACTCATTATTTGCTTCAAAATTAAAATATAATAAAAAGCCTATATGATAACCTAGATAGTAATGTTACTTTTAATTTTTAAAAGGGGTATAAATTTTAAACTAACGGAATTAAATTGGAACTGCTGAGCGTAAATTTGCTATGTTATGCACTTATAAGGCAGAAACAACACATACAGGAGTGTCTCTTAAGAGACATAGGTAACAATTTTCTAAACTGAACATTATAAAAATGTTTTCTATCAATATTTTAGGCCAAATGCATACAGCATAAATTATTTTATATCATTTTAGTTGGATAGGATGGTCAGGTTCATAGAATTTGAAGCTGATGAAATTGAACAAAATATTGATACTCAATCAGAAGATGAATATTGTATTAAAAAAAATGAGATGATACTCAAAGGGAAAATGAAAATTAATCAGTTGTTCAACAAAAAGATAAATCTTATGAACAGGACAACAGCGACGTGAGTATTGGAAAGTGTATACTTTTGTGAATAAAATATTATTATTGATCTGAGCTATAGAATGACAACCACGCGAATGACCAATGCCAGGTTGGAAATATTGAATACCAGAGACAAATACATTAAATCAGTGTTGGCCGATGTTAACAAAGAATTGTTAAAAATGCGTAACAACAGATTATGTTATTATCAAGAAATTCTTAAACAGTTAATACTACAGGCAATGTATCAAGTAGTATTATTGTTATGGTGAATTGTCATGGACAAATCARCACTTTAATTTCGGTTTATTTCAAGGTTTTAGAACAAGAAGTAAGCTTAATACTGATATCAGACGATGAGAAATATGTGACCTCAATGATCCCTGAATTAAGACAAATCTATTTAGCCAATACGGGAATAAACGTCAAAATAAATATTGATAAAAGTATTAAGTTACCGACTCAGGAAATAGGAGGCGTCGTGGTCACAGGCAAAAGTCGAAGATTAATTGTAGAAAATACGCTGGTAGTGCGATTGCTTAATCTCACCCAACAAGCTATACCAATAATATGCACTGGATTGTTTGGACTAAATCCCACTAGAACTTACTTAAGAGATACATAATTCAATATTTAAGAGTAAAAGTAGGATAATATTATATCACAGGAATAATGTTCTAATTTTTAAGTAATATTAAGTATTTAAATAATACTAAATTTCAATAAGATCTTGATATTTAGGGGCGTTTGTATCTGTCGAGCTCATGTTATCATCACTGAAACATTGATAAAATATCAAGTAAAAATATAATAATTTAGATCTAATTTCTTTATATCTATTTCACCTTATTAAGATAGATGTAAACAATGGCGTATCATAATGTTCGAAATCTAAAAAATAAAAACATTGTGTTTGATTGACAGTGTTACTTCTCAATTTTATAAAATTAAATCAAAATTCAATAAATTAATATACCAATTGATGTTTTCTGGTCGTTCACATCTGAGAATAATAGACTTTGAGCTTCGGGTACAGTTTTATGGATTGGAAATGACACACCTTCACCAAGGCTGTGGGAGAATCATTAGTATTAATACATGCAGTTAGATGATGTTAAATGAAATTAAATAACCTATGTTAATAAGCTGTRGAAAATTTTAATACGATCTCAAATATTAAATATAATACCAATATTTATGGTTCAAACAAAATATGTTATCTAATTATTATAATTAAGTAAAAACAACAATTTTTATAGTATATTTTGTTAGTAAAAAAAAAAAAAACTCGAGAAATTATTTTATATTGTGTTATTTGTACAGGTTCAAAACATGTAGAATAAACAAACATTACCAAAAATATACAAAATGTCAAAAATATAAAATTGCTCAAGTCATTAAACAAATTAAAATATAATGTACCTTAATAGATTAACAACATCAATAAAATTAAAATTAATAATATATATCAATATAAATATTGCATTTTTAAAGTWATAAGATTAAAATTAACAATAAGAGAGAACACAACACAATACTGATTTGAGCCTTATGTATACTTGTTTATTTTTATATTGTGCATAGAATAAGTACTAATCATGTCTTGGTGTATAAAAATTGTCTAAACGGTAAATGGTGTCCTGGATTTGTTTGATGATTGCCTAACACTATCATTAGACTTGAGGTCGCTCGCCAATGGATAAATTACACCATCCCCCAAACTAAAACAGAAAAATTAAAATCAGGTAATGGATTACGAATATCAAGATGTATTCCCGGGAATAAACTTATTATTTACACTATTCACATCAGAAATTGGTAAGATAACGCTAAGAATGGCTGTTAAAATACAAACTCATAACAACCAAAATGATTGATCCATAACATAGCAAATAATTTAAACTACATATTTGTTTATAAAATAAAAGTATATTGATCAAAATAATATAGCCTTTCTATACGTTTTCAAAACCATTTCATAATAAAATTAAATGCACTTTACCAACTTATAAAAACATAGTATAGTACTATATAAAAATGTTTTACTTTAAAAACAAATTAAATAAATTGAAGTAACAAAATAAAAAACATTTATTAACATAGATTACCATCAAAAAATTAAAATGGAATATTGAGAAATTTTACATTTAAGAGGATACATTTAATTGACAATATCTTGTGTATTCGGCTWTTGGCCAAATATTTATTACAAGTACAACCATAGTATACCGGTATTTAAAATGTTCACAAATTATTTGACATACTCAGATGCACATAACGTATGAACAATTGTACAACCTTAGAAAAAAAGTTATTAATTTCACTCAAACGAACGATTATTAATAAATTTAATTCAGATATTTTTTTTTTTTTTGGAATTCTTCACAAAAAGATTAGAACATATTTTTTAAGTTATTTATAGTTGATTAAATATTTAAGTTTGATTTTTTTTTTAAACTTTAAATTAACATCGTAAAAATACTTGGTATATTGAAACRATTAGGTATATAAATAAATTTAAAAAAATTTGATTTTTTTTAAGCAAGTTATGAGCATTTTAAAATTGTAGATCTCTTAATTTTAAATTTTTATAGTGGTTTCACACAAACATCAAGGTTTTAAGTACAACAAGCAAACTATTTTTCATTTTTAATTGATACCTCAAAAATGAATTTACTCTAAGAATAATCTAATAATATAATCTAACTTTCTGTCTTTTTCATATAAAATACATTTTCCAAAACTTCCAAATTTCGAGTAAAGAAAATTAACCTAGCTTATTTTTTTATTTTTTTATTTTTATGTATTTTAATATGTATTACGTTAATCAACAGTTCTATATTAAATGAACTTAATAATCATAAATTGTTTTCTTAAATTTTTTAATAATTCTAACTATATTTAAAAATCAATAATTTTGGTTTCGAATCGAATTACTAAATAATTAGCTTTAAGGCTTTAAAATCATAATAAATAATATATACTAAAAAATAAATAATATAATATTTGTTAGCCGAACTTGATAATTTAAATATAGGTAGTGTATTTATATAATTAAAATAGTATGAATAAAGAATATTAAGAATGTAAATGAGTATATTTATTTGATTTATCAATGACCAACACGTTTCCATAATTGTTAAGTGCATTTAAATTTTGAATACCTAATTACTCACCGTGTGTCTATCGGAAAAGGCCACAGAAGAACTTCTTTACCAAACACTTCTCTTATATTTCTACAGCAACCTAAATTGAATCCATTTTTATCACTGCCTTCTAAAAATTTAGGAGGGCGGAAAGACTCTGAAAAATAAATAAAATAATTGAAAAATAACCCTTATTTCTAACACATACAATATAATACATAATATTATTTTATGATTAATTTAAAGTAGAATAGCCGGAAACTATTAACTGGGTAAAATAATACTACGTTCTACGAGACAGTGCGACTGGGCGGCTACCAAAACGTATTAATTTCTGCACATCTTGCTGTATACACAAAGCTTGACTCCACATGGTAAGAGAAATTTGGCCTTGGGCAGTTGGAGCTAAATCATTTCGATGCGCGTGGCGGTCGCACTCTCTCGTGGAACGGAGTATAGTTAAAGTGAACTAGTAAAATGTTCATTGTAGATATAAAATGACCAAAAATGTATCATGTTAACAGATGACCAAATTTCAAGATAAATGTTKTGTAAAAACTAAAAAGAATATAGATGCTTATAAAAATATAACTTAAGTAAGCAATCTTATTAACTAAAAAATCAACAATGCATTTGCACATAGTTATAAGTTTTGTATAAGCTAATATTATTAACCTATACTGTATAAGAAAAATCTCTAAACATTTTTTGAACCAATAGTGAGGTAATGGTCCTTAAACAAAATTTAGCATCTTATGTTTGTTCCATAAAACTTAAATAGTATATTAAATTAATACATTTTTTTATGTAACTTCAACTTAAAATTACTAAAGAAAATTAAATGGTCAATCTATTGAAATATTAAAAATCACTCTTAACAAAAAAATAACTCTTTTAATCAATAAAAGGGGTCAGAAGCACCATGGTACTGGGGCCCGGCTTTCATGCAAATAATTACTTCAATAATTCAATATATATTAGAAAAATGTTTCAAAATTAATTGTTATTTAAGAGGAACTCAGATTTAATTCTGCACCAGGGCCAAAAATATGATATGGGAGGCCTGAATATACACACTATTTATAAATGATTAATATGTATTATAAGATTATAATATTATTTTAATTACCTAATGTTGTTCTGTTTTTTGAAACCAGGTAGATATGATATGCAAGCAATGAGAATAAGCTTAATGAAAACATTGAAGCAATAAAAAATAAGAATATTATATGTATTTTATATGATCCATCTTGAATTCGCTGAAAATAAAGAAAATAAATTATTAGTCATTAACAATTTTTGCTGAATAATTAATATTCAAAATTATTATTTCATCTTTTAATAAAAAGTGGACGCTCACCTAACTTCTCATCCCTTAATCACGTATTTATTAAAATAAAGTGTAAATAAAAACCATATTTTCGCTCATTGATTATATATTATACCATTTAAATAGTAAYGATRTAACATTTTTTTACAATAAATTGTTTGGTAAATGATGATATATTATATGAATAAAAAATTTGAACGATTAATGTCCGAGTTCCAGATAACAGATATTTTTAATTTTATTTAAAACAATTTCTTATGAGTATTATCTTTAATACATACAGTTTAAAAACTTATTTTATATTGTTGCAAGACACTAATAGCATGAAAAATGTTAAGATAYAAAAAATTTTCTTTTGATTTTTAGTACCCACACATAAAATATCTCAAATATCAGAATTTAAATAAATGCACAGTTAAAGGAAACCACAACATTAAAAACAAGATTTAGAGTATGTTATAATCTAAGAAATATGGTGTGGGTCATTAATACCACAAATAGTTATTGGTTTATATGCAACAGATAAACTTCCGTGTCCTATAAACATTACAGATCCAACGGGTAAATGATATTATTATTTAAAAATAAGTAGTTCTACAACATTTTTTGCAAAACTAATACAAGCATATGCCACTATAACACCACATAGTTGWGGACCAGAACGTGCTGTATCCTGTCACACTATATTAAAAAGCAATAAACAGTCTTGCTATTCAATGGATGTAATTAATAGTAGAATGTATATTGCTATAAAAAGCACTGGGACAACAAATTTTGATTCAAGGTCAAATTTTTAAGAACAAAGGAAAGACATTACAATCTTCCAAGACCAAGAATGATATAAAAATCGGCCATTCGTAAAATTTTTTTTTGGAAAAATAGCAATATTGTTAAGTCTAAACATAATTTACATAATTTTGTAATTTTTTTTTTTTCAATTTTTAAAATAAACAAGTGATCATTATACAAATATTAATTATTAGATTATATAATTTAATATTGTGTATAAGTATATCTTTCTTAAAATTAAATTATCTTCTTTTAAATAAATTATGATTTCATTATAAATTTTACCTATTTATAATTTCATTATAAATTTTACCTATTTACCCATTTACATCTAACATTAGGATTTATTTATAATAATTATGAGGGATGAACATGAAATAATTACCTACTATAATTAGACTATTTATTATGAGAAAATTTTTATTTGTCGCCCAGTTAAAAATTTCTTAAAAATTGCACTGATATAGGTAGTAATTAAATAGTTTTCAAATTGAAATATCTAGATATAAAAAATAAAATAAAACTCAATATTTATTTAATGATTGATACAATTTTACTGAACATTATTATTTATTACTGTTAGATAATTAAAATGTATTATTCAATAATCCTTGTAACTTGTAAGTCAATATTAACATTACTTGTTTAAAATATAATTTTAGTTATTTGTTTTAAAATAATCAAAAATTTAAATAGAWCCTTATTATATTATATTAAAATATTACCATATCTGTAGTAATATCCCAGAATTTGATAACATATTCAATTGTTGTAGAAGCCACATAAATGCACATTAAAAGACCATATGCCAAAAATAATATAAAATACTTGTAGTTAGAATATGAGACACAATTATTCACCCATGGACAATGGTGATCCATTTTTAACACACATTTACGACAAACACTGCAATGGTGTGATCTGTCTGGCTTGACTATTTTACATTTATCACAAAACCGAATATCTGAAAAATAATGTTCTGCAATGCTTAAGTTATACATATTGTACGTACACTGAACAGATATGTTTTCAAGATAAAAATCAATTGTATTACCATTGGTGTTTGTGAAAGTCATAATAGGCAAATTTTCAGCAAAATCACGTAAAATAGCGCTTTGCCTGCTCAAGTCTATAGGATTTCTATTGAACTCTTCAAATACTTCATCTGGTAATCTGAACTATAATGAAATAAATATGGTGTGTTAATAAACCGATGAAACAATAAAACAAGTCACTACTAGTAACGACATATTATTTGTCAATACATTTGGTGGCGGGCCGCTTGGCTCTGTGAAAATCGTTTTGAAGTACGACCATAGGAACAACACAAGTATGATGTGGTACACTAAAAGATACGGCACCGACAGTTCAACGGACGTGACTCGACCTGTAGAATATAGACAAGAATGAATAGGCAATAGTGCAATATGATGGAATATTTGTAGCTCTAAGTAACACACAGACATTGATATTATTAATAAAATGTCTGTCCAAACAATGACTTACTGAGGCACAGGTGAAAGACGTACGCGTAATACGACCAAGCAAGTATGCACAATATAAATATCACCGGAATGCTCTTGACTGTGTGGACGCAAACTGAGCAGCAAAATTTTTTCGATGACGGTGCTTCCATTGTTGATTACGGTTGGCCGTAAGCACCATTTATTTTCGATTTTCACGGTTCGATCGTTATACTATACAATCTCATCCATTGGATAGCAATATTGGACGACAATGGCTCCTAACCACAAATTGTTATTACATTAAACGACTAAAACAATAGAATTTCCTTTACCGCAATAATTAATAGTCTATTCGTGCAAAGCGTAAACTTTAGTCCTAAGTACTGTACACTGTGAGGGAAGCGAGTGTGAGTTGTGTGGCAYCGATCAAATTGGGAGAAAAATTACTATAAAATAATTAATAACTAAAAATAAGATTGTCGAGTTCTGAGTATTCGTCATTCGGCTATTTGGGTGAGGGCACTTGGGCTGAGAATTTAGTGTTTATTATCATTTATCTTCTTGTTGTATGATCGTACGAGTGAGCCGATACCCTGGACAGGGAGCAGTCTTGGGAACTGGGAAAGTGGGATAGTGGGAAGACAGTCGCGGCCAGAGAACTCAAAGCGATTGTGTTATCTTAAATACGTAAGAACAGTGTTACCAAAATGTCATTGTTCTATGCTGATAGCATGGGAGATGGGTGCAAGGTGGATTTATATATATATATTTATATATTTATAAATCCACCTTGGATGGGTGTTCCCGATTCTGATAACAACACTGATAACAGTGAAACTGGTAAGAACAAATCCCAATTCCATCGTTTGACGTTTACCAGTTAACCACTTTACCAACGATCTGGGAAACTGTGACTTTTCTTTATTAAATTTGATAGAACTTTCAACCATAATATAAGCTAATAACATTTTCCACCATACCACACTATTAGGGGCCTGTATTATTTTTAAAACCTACTTCAATTAGAAAAGAGTCAAGATAAGTAAATGAAAAAAAAAATAAGAATATGACGTGTTATTTTAATTTTAAATAACAGTAATCTTGTCTATATTTGTTTTAATTACGTATACGAGTGATACGACGTAATATTAAAAATATAATTACAACAGTATTGTCAATTTCTATTRTAATTTATCTTTCTATTCTAAAATATAATAAAAGTTAAATTAAAAAGGACCCGACAGTGGTAATCGCCAATCGGGAGTTCGGATTAATAATACAAATGGGGTCCGGGTTGCTACTTGGTAGTTGGTATATAGCATCATGGACTAGTCCCTCACTGCGAACTTTKGCACCAAGGTGGCACTGGTACAGTTCACTGATGATCGTCCTGGTGCGGGTTGGTACAAGCACAGAACAAGTGTAGATGAAACATGAAACAAAATCTATACTCATAACTCGCTTTGAAATTAAAATATGATAAAAAGCCTATGAGGTTGTTTAGATAATAATCTTACCTTTAAATATAATTAGAGATCAATTCACTCTAAATATTAAGGTAACAGAGCTACAGAGCTACACATGCTCTGCTGAGTATAAAATTTGCAATGTTAC